CCAATATTGCACCATTTAGCGCCCCCGTTCTATCCTAGACCCACCCATAATTGTCGTACACACTGCCTTGCAAAGATTTTTTTCGTGGTTTTATGTCAATAGATACTATTGTAATAATATAAAATTGGTTTTTGTTATAAATCAGTGTTAATATTGTAATATCCGCTGGTAAAATGACGAATAACTGAGTGTTATTCCGTCATTTTCGGAGTACTGAATTTATTCCGCGACCTTTCCTGAGGAACTTAGCTCATTAGCACTCTGATCACTGGTTTTTTTCAGCTATACGAGCTCTCTGATGACACTAAGCGCAAGGAATGGCTAGATGACTGGTTGAGCTTTATGCATCGAATTGGTGAGTAAACCTTCATCCTTGATTTCACAAATTGTTACTATCAGTGGAATTCCCCTAAACAATATTGAGAGAAAATCAAGGTGCAATCGAGCAGCTCTCAAATTCCATTTGATACCGTATCGAATCGATGGGACTGACGGGCGTGGAGTGGGCTGCTTCGGCGGCGGCGCTTAATTCTCGGTCGTAGTGGCTGTTTAGGCGGATTGAATATAGAAAGATCGAGCGCGAGCGCTCGAGCGCCCAAACGCAAACATTGAGCTTCTGATTATATTCAGATTGTTTGACGAGTTGTTCTCGACCATCTAGTGCCGTCACGGCTCCGCCCATCCCGATCACAGTCCTCCGCGTGGCTCCTAGTTTATCATCGATTGGGACAAATGGTTACATATTAATACAATTGGAGGCATGCCTACTAGAGGATTCATGGAAATGAATAATACTCACAATGAAAAGTTGGTAAGATTGTAAGTGGTTTTAAATAAGATAGGGGCTGATTTTTGGGCAAAACTATGATATTTTCATCGGAGTGGATAGAACCTGGGACTTTTGCTTACTCACCAAGCTGTAGTTTTACCAGCCCACTATAGTAAACTACATCATGAGCGATGATGTCTTCCCTTTGACCAATTTAACGAATCGCAGGTTCAATAAAGACAATTCTTAAGCTCTTCACAATTCCCAGTGAGAACTCTGTGGTCCGATTTCATGGAGAATGGTAGAGGAACACCTCAAAAAAAGAAAATATAAATATTGATAAAAATCTGATAAATGCTCCCAAAGGGTTACGTGACGTGGCTGTATGTAGTTCGCCGGCTGTTGAAAAGTACCTGAAACTTCCAGGAAGGGGAGAGGGTCAAAAAGGCACTTCGCTCATGAGCCGCATCAGCAAGCTTTACCTCGCACAGGGTGCCGTATCAACGAAAGTCTGTAGCTGAAACATTCATGAAATGTTCCTACATAATCTCACTTCCTCATCGTCCTCAGAATATAAGCGTCATCTCACCATCGCCGTTGAGCTCAGGGAGAAACCTACGTAGTTGCTTCAAACTTGAGCTGCTACATAATTGAGTGTGCGCGATCCTTGCTGATCAGCATTCAAGACAACGTCACAGTGGACCACGATCCGTGGAACGACTCACTAAGCTCAACCCTTGCATCGCCCCGAGGCAGACTGTTCTAGTTTCGTTTGTCTAGAAGGATATCATAATGCTGTTCGATAGAGGAAAATGCGTTCTTCATCCTCTGACATAAATGCTTGGTTTTTAATCTTGGCGGAGTGTTATAATGTCCTCAAAGGAAGGGAAGCGTCTCTTTTCTTGGCTACCCCTGAAGAATCGATTTGGGAGAAGTAATATTTTAAAGATTTACAACTCAAGTGCCTTTATTAACTTCCACTCGTATTTGACTTTAAACATTTCATTTTTTCCATTGTTCGTGAAGCACTAAAATAAGAAATAAACACTAAGTACTAAACAAGTTATCTTACCAACACCAATAAACCCATGCTTCGGCCCAAGTTTACTCCCACGTTGAACTGGACTGTTTCTAACCCTCTTTAGTGGTAATGTTTAGGTAAACCGGTGACACGAATCCCTATAATGGCAAAGCAAGTGCTGGATCTGTACGAGTTATACCGCCTAGTTGTACAACATGGAGGTCTGGTGGAGATTATCAACAAGAAACTTTGGCGAGAGATCACTAAAGGGCTAAATTTGCCGTCCAGTATCACCTCAGCAGCCTTCACGCTTCGCACTCAGTAAGTTTACCTCTTTTACCCTTAGAAAGAAGGTAAATTCAAGTCAGCCAAAGCACTTAGATGTTCAGGTACCAGAAGTATCTTTACGATTACGAATGCGAAAAAGAGGCGCTCTCTAATCCCTCAGACCTCCAAGCCGCTATTGATGGTAACCGACGGGAAGGTGAGTCAGCATGACCTCATGAGTCTGTTTCGATTAAGGGCAATACGTTTCAGGGCGTCGAAATGCCTCAGCGCCAAATTTCGGCCCTCTCGGCTATCCACTGCCACACGCATCGTCGGCGGCTAATCTTCTCACAAAACCCTTCAACGGTCTCGGAATGAGAAACGGTATCTACACATGTGGTGCAGTTTTTGATTAGGCCTCTTTGCTACGTTCACACTTGATAGGTGTTGCTTTTTGAAAAGCAAGTAATGTTTTGTAGAGTTCATGGACGAAGAAAACGGGTTATCTATGTCATTGCCGCAAAATAATCTCTTGGCCGCATATAGAGCCGAACAAATGGCAATGTTCGAAGCGCAGCAACGACAAATGGAACGAGCACAACGGTGAGTAGAGTTCCTCTGACACGTTTGGCAGCGCGACGCAGCAGTGTACCACGTTTCCCACGACGCGTAGGACGGCGTGACACGTGATGGTATCACGGTGGCCCAGTTCGTGTGATCGCGCTGTCTCGCGCTTCTGTGAAGGTATGGCACGACTGCTGATATTCTATGCTTCCGCATAAGGGAACACCGAAATTAGTGTATTTTCTCATCAGCGTGATTTCAATGATTTCATGCTTGAATGTAAACAAATATAGTAAAAGTGAAGTGGGCTGTGGTAAATCTGAACATTAAAATGGAACCTGGCTCGATACAACTTGAAACACCATGTACACCCCACCTTCCACACCTTTTCACCCCACACGCACCAGTACCCCGTCTTCCCGCCACACCCTCCCCTCACCCACCCAACTTACAAAAGTCCAGGGCCGCTGATCATTAGCTCGCATGGTGCATGGCGACTGCACCATCGGCCGTCCTCACGCCACAGTCGATTCTGAAGCCACCGCGAAAACCGAGCACGACTGCCGAACCCGTCCACTGCTACTCCTTGACTACCGTGGACAAAGAAGATCACCCACACGGGAAACCTACGTATTCCTATAAAAATAAGTGGTTAATTCTGACGGAATCGTGCCACGCGGGATTGTATCTACATTCCAACGACAGGGCACAGATAAAATAATACTTTATGCGATATTAACGTAACTGTAAGAAATGTTATTATTACTGAAACAAGTTTTATGCGTGGAAAAATAAAGACAACAGTTACACCACAAAAAGAAAGAGGCCGAGATCGGGACCTAACAACTGGGATGGAAGTCGATCAGGATGAAAGGACACGTCCAGTGACGCGAGTGCGGTGGTGACCCTCGTCGGTTCGGCAGGGTCTTAACCCTTCCCCATGTCACGTAACAAAAATCGCATTGGTTCAGTAATTTCCCCAAATGTGTAGAAGTTCCCCGGGGTCGAGTTAATAGAGCAATGTTTAATTTTTTTGAGGTCTCCGTACAAATTTTGTGAGTTCACTTATTGAACGACCCCATTTGCCATTGGCATCGCAACTTTAGATACTCTGCGTGGGGCATGGTCCATAATTTCTCATTGAGCGAAACGTTCCTTGCATCGGAATCAACGAGTGCACTGTGTCATCTAGCATCTGCGTTACTACGGTAGACGAATCGTTACTTCTGTTCTAAACACCATTGCTGTTAACAGCAAAAGTTGCGTCCAGTTGCCGAACAACATAAGCTCTCTGGGCAAATTTTTTCACATCTCCATTCCGTTTCCACAATGTGCGGAGTATGGACAAAGCTCTCGTTGTCCGGCGAAACAGATCGATCCCCCTCTCCGATCAGTTTGCTCGGAAAGCACCTACCCCGCTTCACACTGTGAATTACTTCACCGTAACACACTTGCTAACTCGAATTGATACCCTTGTCGTTTTCTAGACGAACATCCTTTGTGACTTGATGTGAAATCCCAACCATTATGACAACTTGAAAAATCTTAAAGCGAGAGATTACGATAAAGTGTGTATGCAGCGTGGAAGTACATGCACCATTGGAAGCAGTAGTCAGGGGCCAAGGAAACGAAATGTTGCGTTTTTGTGGTCAAAGGTGCGCTAGTTGCAGCGTACAAGGCTTGCCATTCCTTTCTGAGCTCCGCCAATAGCCAGTCCAAAACGGTATGCTTGCTAAAAGAAGAGCCTCAGCATAGCTGACTTCTAATGATACTAGCTCGTCCATTATCGGAGGTCAACGGGCAAAAAAAGGGATCCCATTTTGCGCCTTCTTGACGGACTTCTCCGCTTTTTTCGCCACTGGAGCATTATTCGGCATATCCATTTCCACCATGAACCCAGTCCAAACTTATCGTAACCCCCTTCATAGCAGCAACCGTGCTCGTGGCCGTTACATAAAGAAATCTTCCGCGTCAGGACCAGGGCCGGCAACTCGGGAAGTGGTTTTGCAACGCCAATGCATGGTAGTTACGGATCACTCATGGAAGTTGAATGAAATCCTGTTCCACGTCGTCGCGTTCGACCATGTACGTACCTACCATGCATTCGTCCAGAACCGACTCCCGTGCCCGCCACGTCCATGTCGCGGAAGATTCCTTTAAAATGGCACCACGATATCGAAAGCTCTCCGTGCGTCTCAAAGCTAGTGAAACGGAGAAACAAGAAACCAGTTCTAACTCTAATGCATCTAAAATACCAAGTATACGATTTCAAACTCGCCTTAACTTCCCGCATTGAGTCCGCAGTTACGACCCATTTCACAGCAGGAAACTCCATGCATTTATGAGCTTTCTACTTTTTCTTTACAAATCCCTTAGGACATAATTCATTTAGAGTAGTTGCATTTATTCGGTTTTAGCAACTATTACACTACCGACCATCCAAGTTTGATGTAAGACGCTATTCATTTCCAGAAGGTCAACAAGCCGACAACCTCTATGGTGGTGTCGATGGAAATAAACGGCATCACCTATCAAGGAGTGTTATTCGCCCTCGAGGAAGGCAGCAAGACCTAACAAATCTAAATATATCCAAGTATGTCTGTCTAATAACTAGAATGGATAATGCATACTATCCAAAACACACTCTAGCCTAAAACCATCTTGTGATTTACCCGCATCGTCCATCGCCTATCAGCACGTCCGAAATTTATTACTAGTAAACTATCTAGCTGTACCAGTCCACCTACCTGTTGGCCTCATCTCCTGGAAACAGATAGAATGATGTGCACGGATCCATACAACCTTTTCGTTCGTGGTTTAGCTGATACATTTCGAGTATATTCCCGAATTTCGACAACTCTTATACGTATTGACGTTTTATCTGCAGGTAAACGTAAAGCCAATAGAATCAGGAAAAACAATACTCAATAACTTAAATGAATGGGTATTAGCTCTGTTGTCCACGATCAATGACTTTCAATATCCCTCTACAGCGTTTTTATAGTTCTGAAAGACAGAAAACTCGGTACCCGACAGAGGCCGCGCGTCCGCGCGACACAGAAATGCACAAGTTAAAGGAATACCTCACAACGACCATGGCACCAGTGGGGGACCGGAAATGATTTTGCGACAACATCGCAGTACTAACGGACCACGTCATAGAAGGTTTGAAATTGAATCCTGTACGTCGTGCGTTACGAACCTTGGAGAATCCGTACAGCATCTGTCACAAAAACTTCCGGTCCTGCCATGGTCCATGGTACGTGTTGATTCCTTTACGGACCCGCCAGTGCGTAGCGTGTAAAGCCGTGTAGACGTACTACATGATACGTTCTATTTAAATCTTACACTGAAATCACTACAGGCGCGCTGCACTCTCACTATCCTGGCCTGTGGCCGGCCGACGAGTCATCTGTCGGTACCCTAAGAGAATCACAAGCATGACACAAGCATTGACCCAGATATCTGACGTGGAACGTGCACTCTGCGTCTCTAGCTTGAGCTACTCTGTTTCTCTATACTCGAGCATGAGGAGAGAACAGCATTTGGAAGTGAATGACAGTGATGAAACAGACTGTAGTTTAATAACTATTTGGAGTACTATGTCAGGAATACTGTAGGTACTATGCCGTTGAATATTGTCTATCCACTGCGAGCTAAACATAGGCTAGAATCTATGGAACGAGAGCACACACTGCGTCTCTCACCACTCTTCGATTATCGATCGATAGTGACCTTCACCTTTAACGCGTCAGACGGATTGCCTACTGTAGCTCGTGTAAAGGATGGACAATATCCAAGGCTATTCCTGAATGAGCAGAGAATCCATTTGCCGAGCTTTTTGATGTAATTCCAATATCGACATCACCTTTGACATAGATTATTGATTATATCGATCGATTTCATGGTGTGATTTTCATTATGAAGTCAATATGTCGTGTCTTCGCCGTGTACCACCCCTACCATACTATACCGTACTCCCGAGTTTCATGACATTTCAAAACATATGGTTGTTTCCGTTTGTGTGTGCATTGTTTTCTTCGTAAGGTGACGTTTTCGAATGTATTGATTTATTGATTTTCTTCGATGATGATAGAGAGGGATGGACATTTCTCTTTTCCCTTATAGAATGAGAGTGATGATTGTACAACAAAATGATAATGATGATGACATTCATCAGCTTTTTCGATGATTTCTAGTTGTGAGCTTATACTTGGTGACACCATTCTTCTATTGTATTTATTTTTATTTGTCGTTTTGTTGACAAACTTTGGTGTTTGGCAGTCGGCCAAATGGAGCGGTCGGTACGGGACAATTTCTTTCCTAATTTGTTAGCCGATTGTCCTACCGTAGTGCTGCCCGTTCGGCCAACAATAATACCACGGTGTAGATATAGATGAAGGAATCGATTCGAATCATTTTCCCTGATTTTTTCTTTGATTCATCCCGAAATAACGTTCATAAAGGCGTTTCAAGTTTCGTTCAAGTATTGCTTTGAGCCGTTTAGCTATATTTCTGAAGAATGGAAAACAGTAAACACGATAGGGGACCGATCCTACGACGTTTTGACTGTGAGTCCCGACCACTACCGTTGCGCTGTTTTGCTTCATAACTCCTTCAGAGAATCGTTTAGCAGATTTGGAAGGTAGATTTGAGATCAGCGTTCAAAGGCACATCTAGTGGTATACATCTCTTCTTGAATGGCCATGGCGACCTGGGAGCCTTTCCTTGTGAGCGGAAGAAAACTCAAGTTTTCTATTCTGGAGGAATCAGGGGTAACTTTTGAAGGAAT